GTTATATCAGTGGTTAAAGTTTTATTGCACCATACTATGCAAATATATATATATATGAGGGTATATATCTTGGGGATGAGGTATAACAAAATAAGTAGAATTCAGAATTCATAGAATTTTGAATGTGAAAGGAGCTTAGTAGAGTGGTTCTCAATCTTAGCTGCACATTAGGATCACTCAGGGACTTTTAAAAAAAATACTGGTGGGTAGGCCCTCCACCCCAGATATTTTGACTTAATTGATTTGGGGAGTGGCCCAAACATTTTTGTGGTTTAAAAGCTCCTCAGACAGTTCTAAAGTGCAGCTAGGGCTGAAAACCATTGGTCTAGTCCAGCTTCCTGAGCACAAAGATAAACACAATAATTCAGTATGGTAGAGAAAAGAACACCAGACTTGGATCAAAAAATATTAACTTGAGGCTGGCTGGTTAGTTCAGTTAGTTAGAGTGGGGTATTATAACACCAAGGTCAAGAGTTTGGATCCCCGTACCAGCCAGCCATCAAAAAAATAAAAAATTTAAAATACATATATTAGTTTGAATTTCCTCTGTACCATTTATGGACATTAAGAGAGTTCCTTACCCTTTCAGTGCCTCGGCTCCTTGTAAAGGGACTGAAGTTTCAACTGTAAAGGGGTATATTAACATATACCACCCTAATCAATTAAAAGCGATTTTCCCCCTTGCAGGAATAGGGAAATTGGTGATCAATAAGGATGAATGACTTTCCCAAGTATACCTTGGTAAGCAAGAAGTGTTAGGTGGTAATTTAAGGATGTAATTTAGCTCTTTCCATTCACTTGTACCAAGCAATTGACCATGTTGCCTCAGTGCTTATTGTCTGAAGCCATAATTTTAAAAAAAATTTGCTAAAATATCAACTGTAATTCAAACTTTTGTCTTTAGTTCCAACATTGTTAAAAATGAGATAAAGGCTTCATACTCGGGTATAATTGTCAAGGTTTTGACTAGGCTACAACTTTTTTCACCGTTAAAGAGGAAGAACTAAAAGCGGGTCCTCAGCTGACACAGCAAGAGGACAAGGGAGCAAACCACCATTTTGGTTCCCACAGCGACCCTTTAAATATTTTTAAATATTTGTATCCGTTAAAGTTTCCAAGAATACTTACAAATGAAAATGCTTTGTTTTCATTGGCTTTTCTAGTTTCATTTGAGAGTCTCAACCTTTACTGTCTGTGTTCTTATTAAAAAAACATCTGAAATTTTAGATACCATATACCAGGCTTTATGCTATGCACTAACAATTCAAAAATGAAAAGGACAAGAAACCTCCCTTAGAGAGCTTATAAACACATAGGGATAATACTAATGGAGGACTAATTCTCTTGCCTCAGTTAGTAGTTTCTCTTGGAAAGGATTAGTAATTTTTCTAAAGATACACTTTATTATAGTTTCTTATCTACTCTTTATTACCACTGCTAATAGATTTCCTGGGGCTCTATGCCTTCTTTAAACTAGACAAAGTTCAATTCTGGCCTAAGGACTCAAAATGATAAACGGGGCGAAATCTTCATCAAACAAATATGTGGTTAGACAACCCTCACCATGTGGTCAGAATTGTCCTCAGCACTGGATGGGATGAAAAAATATATGACTAGGTCATACAGAATGAACAACTTTTAAGAGCTATAGGAATTAGGGGTAAACAGTGTGGAATACTATTGTTAGAGAAGACATTCACTTAATTCTAAAAACAGAAGGTCTAAGCTATTTTTTTATAAGTAAATATTTTTCTTATAAGAGTATTTTAGTCAGGAATATTTTAGCATATTATAGGTGGTTGTTGAACAGATTAAAAATTATGAAGTGGGGGCCCGCCCGGTGGCGCACTCGTTAGAGTGCGGCGCTTGGGAGCGCGGCGGCGCTCCCGTCGAGGGTTCGGATCCCATGTAGAGACCTGTCCGCTCACTGGTTGAGCACGGTGTGGGCACGACACCGAGGGTTGCAATCCCGTTACCGGTCACGAAAAAAGACAAAAAGGGAAAAAAAAAAATTATGAAGTGGTATTTTCTAAGGAAACCTGGTTTGTAAATAAGTTGGAGAAATCTCTTCATTTACAGGCTTTGAAAAGCAATGATCAATTTTTCTACAGTTAGTTTTTGGAGATTTCATCTGTTTAAAACTTAAAAGAGTAAAACAGTGCAAACTGAGAAATGTATTTTGTTTCATAAATGGAAATTTTGGTTTATCTGTAAAATATTTCACTGAATGAAAAATAATATTTTTAAAATAGAAATTTACTCTTTTTAAATTGTTAATTGTTTCAAGAAAGAATCAAGAAAATAATATGTTTTATCTGTGGTATGATTTAGCATTTGCCTAAATTGTTACCTTTTGCAAATATTTTGGTTTTGTTAAAATTTGCTTACTCCCCCCCCAAAATGGAATGATTACATATACAAAGTTTAAAATTTCAGTACCTGAGTTTATTTTCTGGCCATTACTATTTGTTTTATGCTGTGATTATTACTTAAAATAACTTATTATAAGATGCATTATATGATGAGCCACTCTAGATATCCAGTATTCTAACATATACCACTATATGAAAAGCTTACCAATTTAACCTATTACTTCAAACTCCCAGATTGAAAAAAAATAGTATGTGCTTTTCCTTTTTAGTTTTGTCTTATTTGTGGGATCAAAGGAATTCTTTCATTTGAATGACTGAACTTCTGATACCTACATGCTGCTGCTTTATAGTCACTGGGGACATTGTATCGACAAGAAAATCCCTGTCTCCATGAACCTTTCACTCTGGTGGGAAATGAATTAATGGAAAATAGCTTAAAAAAAATTTTTTTTTTTAAATCCCTAGAACAGTGCCAGTGCCAGGAAGATGCCAGTGCTTCACACTGCTTCTGTTTTGAATTATATCACACCTTCCATTGAAAAATGAATCCAAGCCCAGCAGATTAATCTTCCCAGAAAAACTAGAATCCGCTCTAAGAAAACGATTATGTTGGAATGGAACAAAGTACAATACATGCTTCTATTTGTGACATATCAAAAAAACTCTTCCCTCAGATAAAACAATAATTATTAATGACACTTTATAAAGCATTTTAAGAAATACTGTAAATGAGGCTCAACACAACTGTGTGAGATAGACAAGGAGCTGGCATAATTTTATTTTGGGGGCAGCTGGCCAGTAGGGACATAAAACCCTGGGCTTTGGTGTTACAGCACCACGCTCTAACCAATTAACCTAACCAGCCACTCCATGTGGCTTAATTTTTTGGTTAAGATAATGGACTGTAGATTCATGATTTAATCCCAGCTCTGTGACTTTAAGAAAAATTACTTAACCTATTTGACCCTGTTTCCTTATGTGCAAAATGTTAATACTTCATATGATTGCTGTGCAGATTAGAATAAAAAATTTTAAGTATTTAGGACAGTGTTTGCCATACAAACATTCAATAAATGGTGATTATTCTCATTATTTCACGTATGATTCTTCATCTGGCGTTCGTGTGACACTTGAAAGCCAATCTTCTGACTCCAGATCCTTTTTTCAGTTTTATGACAGTGCATCTTAAGACAAATGGAAAGTAAATTAGAACATTGTTAGAATATTAATACGTTTAATAAATGTACTTCAGGCTGAAGTTTATATGGTTATCATTTAACCTATCTAACGTTATCAAATTTTTTAATATTGTAAAATAAAAATAGTATGCTATACGCTGTTATAGCATTTGCCTTTTTTAAAAAAACCTATTTCCTGTTTTTTCTCCCCTTATTTGGTATTTACTTTAACTTTAGGTTAAATTTAACTTTAAGTCAAGGCACTTTAACTTTGTCTCACTGTATCACTAACCATTTGATACAAAAAGTCTTCCACAAACATTGTATTATTTAATTTTCAAGTGGGGTGGAGTAAGCAAGGTCAGTTCATATGTGAGATAAAGTCCGCAAGGTTAAGTTGCCCAAATCAGGACATGGAAGTAGTTGGTCTTTCTGATTCTAAATTCTATGCTAAGATAATACTGTCTAGGCTTCTTAAAGGGGAGCTACTACTAATCACACTGAAAGGAGGTGATATTTAAATGAGTATGAAAAAAAAGTTGAAAACGCGGCAAGGCACGGCAGCTCTTCATAATACTGTAATTTTAAAGAAACGTGGGCTGGTCCTGACGAGATATGTGAGATAGGGCTCAAACACTCCTAAGGAGGGCTTCAAAGCAAACCTGCCCGTAAACGCGCCACGCTGACTGGTAGATTCCATAGGAAACACTGGCCTCCCACGTGTCTTTCAGGAAACACACCGAACTCGAAAGATAAAGGAAGCCAAGAAGGGGTAGGAGAAAAGGTAGCAGAGAATAGGGTTTCCCTGGGAGATTGAGGGCGCGCCAAGGCTGGGGTGGTCTGGAATGAACTCGTGGAGAACCTGGAGGGCACCGAGGTCTGAGAACAAGCCAGGAAGCACCTCGGTTGGGGCGTTCATCGTGGGAGTGGGCTGCCCACGGGCCCCACCCTCTGGAGCTGTCCCAGTGGATGCGCTCCCTTGGCTGGTTGGGGGCAAATGGGAAGGAGGAGCGCTGAAGAGAAAAGCAAGGAAAAAGACGATAGAACAGCTACAGGTGGGAACGCGTCAGAGTCCGAGGTTCGCGGGTCCCGGGTGGGCCTCACTTATGAGCCCTCCGAGACGCCGTAGTCCCGCCCACTGGCGCGTGGCGCCCACAACGCTGGGCGCGCGGGCTGCTCGCCTTACAGAGGTCGCTCTTGTCCGAACGGTCGGCCTCTGCTGCGCCTGCGTGGTCGGGAGGGGAAGTGAGGCGGTTTCCTCCGCGCCTTTTCCGGCTGCGGCGGCGGCAGAACTGGGAGGAGGAGGTGCAGGCCAGACGGAGCCCGCGCTCTGGGCGGCGGCTGGAGGTAACCTCCCGGGCCGAGCTGGAAAGGCGGGCCGCCTTGGCCTCCGCTCCCCGCTGGAACTCCAGCGGTAACTCCTGTCTCCCTCTCTGTCTCTGCAGGCAGCGCTCCGAGTTCCCGCGAGGATCAATGACCTGACGGGGCGCCGGAGCCGCGCTGCCTCTAGGGTGGTCTGAGCCGGTGGTGAGCCCGGTGCTCGCGGACCGGCGGGCGGGCCGGAGAGCCGCAGTCTCCCGCGGCGGGGTGAGAAGGCGGAGGAGCGGGAACCGCGGCGGCGCTCGCGCGGCGCCTGCGGGGGGAAGGGCAGTTCCGGGCCGGGCCTCGCCTCAGCAGGGCGGCGGCTCTCGCCGCACAGACTCAGGGCCCTGGCGGCAGCGGCGACTGGAGGAGTCAAGTTGTGCGGGGTGATGTCCGAGTGAGCGGCTGGCCCGGACCTCTGCCCCTAGGAGGCAACTCCCACGCAGGCCGCACGGGCGCCCTCGCGGCTGGGAGGTTTGGTTTCGGTTTCGCAGCAGCGGCTGCGGCGTGGTTGGCTGAAGGGACTCGGGACACCTGAATGCCCCCGGCCCCGGCTCCTCCGACGCGATGGGGAAGGTGCTATCCAAAATCTTCGGGAACAAGGAAATGCGGATCCTCATGTTGGGCCTGGACGCGGCCGGCAAGACAACAATCCTGTACAAGTTGAAGCTGGGCCAGTCGGTGACCACCATTCCTACCGTGGGTTTCAACGTGGAGACGGTGACTTACAAAAACGTCAAGTTCAACGTATGGGATGTGGGCGGCCAGGACAAGATCCGGCCACTCTGGCGGCATTACTACACCGGGACCCAGGGTCTGATCTTCGTAGTGGACTGCGCCGACCGCGACCGCATCGACGAGGCCCGCCAGGAGCTGCACCGCATTATCAATGACCGGGAGATGAGGGACGCCATAATCCTCATCTTCGCCAACAAGCAGGACCTGCCTGATGCCATGAAACCCCACGAGATCCAGGAGAAACTGGGCCTGACCCGGATTCGGGACAGGAACTGGTATGTTCAGCCCTCCTGTGCCACCTCTGGGGACGGACTCTATGAGGGGCTCACATGGTTAACCTCTAACTACAAATCCTAATGAGCATCCTCCACCCATCCCCCGGAAGGAGAGAAATCAAAAACCCATTCATAGGATTATCGCCACCATCACCTCTTTTCAATTGCCACTTTCTCTTCTTTTGAATTTGAACTCTGGAGTTAACTGTACTACGGTTTGGGAGGGTTTGGGGATTTTCTTTTTTGTTTCCTTTTTTATTTTTTTTGGCTTTGCGTTAGGATGCTCTGATCTGACATTTGACATGAACACAAAGTGCTAGATGCTCTGTTGACTTCCAGCAAATGGGATGGGGAAAATATAGCAGTTTTGGTAAAGTCCTTTATAATAATGGTTTGATTTTTTTATTTCGACAGAATCTTTTTCTGCCAATGTATGCTTTTTTCCTTTTTGCCCAGTTTTCTTATCACTTGCTGTAGATGGCTTATTTTGCATTCATGCAGACTGTGTTGCAAGTCTGTTTCATCTAGTAAACTGAAAATTATTGCTTAATCAAACTGCCGTTTGTCTTTTATATTTAAGGCCTTCCCCCCTCCCTTTTATGAGTTCTAACTTTAATTTAGTAATTTCCAATATGATCTTTTATATCTTAAGACCAGTACAGTAAACTTAGCCCACAGTGGCAAATAATGAGTAATATCATTGTAATATGTTCCAGTTGCACATCAGTATGTTAAACAGGTAACGTAAGAAGTTCTTTGAAATGTCAGCTATTAAGTTCTGAGACATACATCATGCATGAGTAGGAATAAAATCCAACTTCCCCATAACATAGCTAACTTACGCTGCATAAAAATATGAAAGTGTAACCCATAAAGGACGCAGATTTTTAATTGCACTGCGAAGTTAGCAACTTTGCTGTTTTCCTTCTTTTTTTTTTTTTTGACTTTAAAAAATAGACTCTTTCCAGAAAATGGAGCAATAATGGTGTATGCCAAACAGATGAAATATTTGTAGATACTTTAAGTGACTTTTGGGCAAAACTGGAATATACACTTTTACCTTGTTTCAAATGTCTAAGACCAGTACTTCTAAAGTTACTAAGCCCTTTACTTTGTTCATTAATAAAGCATTTAAGAATTCAAATGATATGCACCTTTTACCTAGTTGGAAAAATACACATTCCTGTTTTCACATTACAGCAACTGATTAAGCTGAAGATAAAAGTCATTTTTTTATAGATAGGGATCCACATCTACATTAATTAGAACACTGGAAAAGATGTTTTATAAAAAAGATATTTAATATTGTTTGATTGTAGGATTAACTCATGCAAATAGTAAGTCAGATATCTTGTTGGTTCAATAGTACACTCTCCTTTAAGAAAGCAAATGTGTTGAATGATGTGTAGACTTGAGGGATGACAAAGGGGAAGTAGGATGAAGAGAAAGAACCTACAAATGACAATGAATGTAAACTTATTTTTCTTCAAGGGTATGCAGTGTGCTCACTGTTGATATAGATCCTAACAACATTACTTGATAGCTGGTTAGGACCAGTAACTAGATTGAGACCACTATGATAATATTTTGAACCAAATGTTCGTGTTTGATATAGAATTGTGAAGCAGCATCTGGTTCTTGTATAGCCTTAAGGATTAATCTTAGTGATCCTCAAGGACTTGAACTTAGGGAATTTCAGAAATGTAGACTGCAAAAGCAGTATACAGGAAAAGGTGGAGTGGGTTTTGTTTATGAGGGTATCTGAAAGCTAAAATTGAGCGGGATATCATGGTATAGTTGGACAGTATTGGTCCTTCATGCTTTGGCCATATCGTATAATGGAGCTTTTACCAAAGATGTATGAGAAGCATACGGCTATAAAAAAAATAAACTATTTAAAGTAAAACTTTTGACAAGTGTTTTACTTAAAGCAGATGAGAAAAGGTGCTATATTGTAGGCTCCTGCTGGTGCAGAGGGATTTTTGAATTCAAGATGCAACTAAACCTAAAATTCTGTTTCACTTCAGTGGAAGTATCTCTGGAAATGAGGCTGATAAATGCACCTAAGAACATTTTAGTTGCTTTTTAAAATTCCCAAAGCTCCACCATAAATGTAATTCTTAGTATTTTAAATGATTACATTTTAAGGTACATAAACATGGGTTATACAAATATCAATGCTATAGTAACATCCTGAAACAAAACAAGCACAAAGGTATAAATGCCTAAACTGGAGGAAACTTGAAACCCTCGTGTTAATTCTTAAATGTAGTATTTCTAACTTGTGACAGTTAGATTGGTAGGCAGCCATTTTTTGTGTGTCTTAAAATAACTGGGGGCATAGTTAAAATTTTATACATCAAATGATTGCTATTATTGAATGTTGCAGGTGAGATGTAGTTATTTTTAGTTTATTTGAAATGTCTGACTGAAAATGGGGGTGGGGGAAGCAAATATTTGAAATTTGGGAAACCCTAAACCTTTTGGTAAGAAATTGTAATTTTTACATTTTCTTTAAGGATATCAAAAGTTTATAATTGATGTAGTTAAATCAAGCCATAACCATTGGTGATTATGGAGCAGGTAATTATAGCCTGCAGAAAAAGTCATAACTAAGAATTTAAGAATTTAATAAATATAAGATCCTGAAGTTTTTGTTTAATTGCATCAATTTCTGTATTTATGTGAATTTATAAACTGCAGAAAGTTTGAATGAGGTTAATCTTGTCTAATATAATTAAATGAGTCTGTAGATTGTGATCTCCCCAAACTCAAAAGTACAGTGCTTGGAATTGTGTTCTTTATGGTTGTAGTATTGGTAAAGCACTAATATGCAGAAAATAAAGGAATTACACAGTGCAGTTTCTCACGTTATGTTACTTGTCTGAACTAGATAAAGGGACATTTGGTGTGTTGGGCCATGTTATTCTCCAGGGATATATGTTAAAAAGTGAATTTGGGAGTCACCTGACTTACAAGAACAGAAAAAGAATTTGGTTCTTGTAAATGCTGGGTATTTAAGGAGGTTTGCCCTATTTTAATTCCACCAAACTTAATCTGATTTTATGGTAACTTAGGACACAGAAATAGTTGAAAAGAATTTTTAAAAATTAAGGTCCTTCATTCCCTGTAGCGGCCAGCCAACCTCCCACTTTCCCTCCCCCACCCAAATTAAGGTCCTATAGCAGTCTTTATTACGTGTTTCCAAATAACAACCTTAGCGTTTTTAGAAATACAGAATGTGTCAATAAAGAGCTGGCCTATGTTGCTGTCTTAATCCTTGACAATAGACTTTGGGATTTTAGTTTATTTTAGAGGTCAAAGTTGCTTGGTTTAAAAGAATGACAGGATTATAGCCACTTAGAAAGTAAAATAGTATATGAATAACTTATTGGATAAAAGGCTTTTTAAACACATTTTTTCAAGCATTCCGTCCTGTGTTAGCAATTTTAGTAGTTTTAGAATGTCTTAATGTACTCTCATATGGTTTACCCCCACATTAACACATTAACATTTATTAGTATTTTTAATACTGTGATTTATTAAGAAATATCTAGTATCAATTTGTCAGTAATGGTAGAAAAATATTTTCCTCTTTAATGGTTTTTATTTTTTTGGAGGGTGGCTGGCTGGTACAGGATCCGAACTGGTGACCTGGGCTTATAAGGCTGCACTCTAACCAGCTGAGTTAACTGGCCAGCCTTTTAATGGGTTTTTATGCTTTAATATAAGTTTAGAAATATAGTAGCCTTAATCTGAATGCTGATGGAGCTTATGAAATTCCTAAAGTTACTTCCTCTGAGCATAATATATTTGGAGTATAACATTCAGTAGAATCTAGCTTTTTGCTTTGTTTAATTAAATAGAGACTAAGTAGGAATGATCACAGTAATAGGAAGTTCATAAAAATGGAATGTTGGGAGATGAAGCCATAGTAGAGGCAAAGTAACTTCTCCCTGCTTTGTCGAACTTTGAAGTTGCCAGGCTAGATTAGTGAGTTGACCGGGCAGGGAACACAGGTGAGATCAAAGAAGGCAGAACAGGTCTGCAGAGTGATTTAGGAATTAACAATTGAAATTTGTTATTAAATTAGTTAAAGTACTGATAAGCTTCAAGAGATTTAGACTGTAAGAGCTTGTCTCACTTTGTGGAATAGTAAGAAAATGCTTTACTTTTTAACCTTTTTTCCCTTTATTTAAAATGTATGACTGCATGAATTTTTAAATGAATGTCAGTAAACATCTTTTCACTAGATAAATTATTTCATATAGAATATGTATTTGCTCCATAGTATTTGTTTTATAAGTGTGAGGGTAGATTTATTTATTGAGAGCTTACTAATATGCCTGGCACTGTTTATGAGCAGGAGATACATAAGTGAAAAAAAAAATACCTGCCTTCATGGAATTTACATAGGGGTGGGAGAGAACAAAGATCAGATGATAAGTGAAAGTATGTTAGATGATACGCTATGTATAATATGTATGTTATATATATAGGAGAACAGGTAGGAACCTGTTCAGAGAAGGTCTCATTGAGAAGATGTCATTAGAGCAAGTATTTGAAGGAAGAAAATAGTAATGGTGTAATTGACATAGTAACAAAAAGATAATATGTATAATCTAAAGTAGGGGTGGGGAAACTATAGCCAAGAGCGTATCTGGCTGTCACCTGTTTTTATAGGGTCTGTGCTAAAAATAGTTTTTACATTTTTAAAAGATTTTTTTAAAAAAAATGTAACAGAGACAATAATGTGACCTGAAAAGCCTAAAATATTTACCATCTGGCCCTTTATGGAACACATTTGTTGACCTTCAGTCTAAGGCCCAATTTTAAAAACATTATCAAAACATATAGGAAATCCAATAGTCTTAAAGCAAAGATCATTCTTTTTTTTCCCTGCTGGCCAGTACAGTGATTGAACCCGGGACAGTGGTGTTATCCCAGATCTTGGTGTTATCAGCACCCCACTCTAAGCAAGTGAGCTAACTGGCTGAAAGACCATTCTGAAATGAATGAGTCTAATCAAAATTTTAGGTAACAGCGGCATATGGAATTTACCATATTTACACATTTAGTGAGCTGTGAGATTTAGTAGTGTAACCAGGATTTTTTTTTTTTTTAAATAAGGTTTAAATGTGTGAAATCAGTAGTTGCTTAGTTTCGATTTTAACATTCTTAAAAATTTTGTGGATCATTTCATTTTAAATGTTTCCCTTTTTTTAATGGTAGTTTTACTGGTATTCGGATTTAAGTTAAATGTGCTTCTCTGTTAAAATGCCCTTTCCTCCAGATAACCTAGATTACTTTGGAATAGTTTCAGATAACATTGAACTGTGGCTTATTCACTTGGTATTACTATAATCAAGTCCTGAGTCCAGTATTTTATATTATGAAACTTTGTAAGAGGAAGTGTTTTATTGACTTGGAAACTAATTTGTTGCATGATACTTGGTTTCTTGCAGCATTATTCCTCTAAGCAATATAAACTAGGGAAAATAATTTACTTACCACATGCATTATTTCTTGCCTGGCCGGTTCTATACTAATATGATGGGATGCGTAACCTATAACTATTTTAAAAAGGTACACTAAACAAAGTAATTTAGCAGGAGTTATGGAAGTTAAGTTTTATGGAGGACATTTACAAATGAGCTTTAAAAAAAATGAAAACACTTGTTCATAGACTACGTGAAACTGGTTATTCATGACCATAAAAGTTGTTTTCCATAACAGTTGAATAGACTTGCCTGAGAAGCATATGAGATAGAAAAAAAAACCAAAACAAATTTGTTGGAGTTATAGAAACAGGGATTTAGATCTTTGAAGTTTGTTATAATATGGCAAACCAAAGTGCTTTCTCTTCATATCTTTATTTCTAGAAGTTAGTTTTCTAAAAAAGTCCTAGGTTGGAGTTAGGCCTAAATGATCAAATTTGGACATATTCTAAGAATAATGAGTTAGCATTTATTGAATATTTGCAATGTGTCAGGCATTGTACTAAGCATTCATGTGTATTAATTCTCTAAATCCTCAAGACGAGCTTGGGAGATAGTGCTCCCATTTTATAGTTGAGAAAACTGAGTCATGGAGTTAGTAAGTAGCAGAGCCAGGGTTTGGATTCAGGTAGTATGTACTCTATACTGTGACTGTATGTACTGTATGTATAGTATGTATTGTATAATGTGACTGAGGTGAACCAGTGGTCAATAATGTTAAATTTTTATTTGGATTCAGGTAGTATGTACTCTATACTGTGACTGTATGTACTGTGTGTATAGTATGTATTGTATAATGTGACTGAGGTGAACCAGTGGTCAATAATGTTAAATTTTTTTGGTGTGTGGTTTTAAACAAATAGCTTGCTTTGAGTAATTTCCCTTAATTTTCATATTTGGTCTTCATTAGGTTTTGAGTTCCTGTATAATCTGGGTCTTCTGTATAATGGAGAACACAGTATTAGACTACTTGAGAGACTTTTTTTCTGTAAAAATCAAATGTGACTACTTGATTATGAATTTTACAGATCATGGTGCAAGATAGTGAAAACGTTAACCCTTTTTTGAGCTGATTATTTGCATGATTATTTATATACAGACTCCTTTTGATTAAAGAAGACAGCTTTCTAAAATTTAAAGTACACAATTTATACTGTCTCTACCTGAAAAATTCATAACTACAGACATTTCAGGTATCATTTAATAAATGAATTTCTTGCCTTATAAATACCGTTACAGCTCACTTTTTGTAGGGGAGGTTTACTTAAAGAAAGCTATTATCCTCATGTTGGCTAGTACCTAGAGTATAGGGTCACCTACAGTGCTTTAATCATGTACTTTGAAGTATAAGCCAGGACTTAGAGTAAACACTGATCATTTTGGTAAAATGCAAAATGCCTTATTTAAAAATCTTATTTGTAATTTCTAGATGAGGTAGAAACTTAAGGCTAAGTAAGACATACACATGAAATGTTCAAAGTAAGTAGTTAAATGCTGTCTTAAATACTAGACAGAGGAGAGAGATTATACTGTGGGCTGGAGTGGGCTAGAGAAAGCCAGTGGGAATTGAGTTGGACACACAAGGTCAGAAGATTATAGTATTGCCATTTATTGCATGCTCATTGCAGTAAATGAGCACTGTTCTAAGTGTGTTACATTGCATTATCTCATTTAAAATGTGTGAGTAAAGGTGCATGGATAGTAATATGTATATCTCGTGTGTGTGTACACACAGTATTTGGGAGATAGAGAATAGTCTCATTTGACTAAGGTTGCTAGATTTAGCAAATAATAATACAGGGTACCCAAATAAAAGGGTAAATAATTTTTTAGCACAGGTATATCCCAAGCAATATTCTAAAATTATGTACTAAAAATTATTTGCTGCTTATCTAAAATTCAAATTTAACTGGCCATCTCGTATTTTAACTACAATTCTATATCTAACTTGAGTGTAGGAAAGGGGGTAAGGTTCAAAATAGAAGTTAAAAGTGAGATATTTTGAAGGCCTCAGAGTTAGACCAAGTAGTTTAGATAATGTTTTGTGTGTAATGGGAGCCACTGAATTTATATTTATATATATATTACTCTCTCTATGCATATATATAGAGAGAAAGTCACAATGTTTAGGAATATTTTTCTAGTAGTTTTGTGGCTCACTCAGGAGAGTGTGGTACTGATAGTGCCGAGGCTGCAGGTTCGGATCCTATATAGGGATGGCTGGTGCACTCACTGGCTGAGTGTGGTGCAGACCACACCAAGCCAAGGGTTACGATCCCCTTACCAGTCAAAAAAACAAAACAAAACAAAAAACCTAGTAGTTTTGTAGAATCATGTATCAGGATCATGGATTGAGGTTAGAA